AGGAAGAACGAAAATTACAAGTGATCATGTTAATAAATATAGAGAAAAGTATAGGAGAGAGAATTCCACCTTGCGGAACACCAGTGGTTAACTCAACCCAATCGGACACCATACCATCGACCCGAATCGCCTGCTGGCGACCACGAAGATAGGAGAAGACCCATTTCCGTGCTGATAAGGAAAAACCTATGTAAGATAAGATGGCGATGAGAATATCATGGTCAACGGTATTAAAGGCGTTAGAAAAATCTATTAAAACTAACACCGTTAACTTTCCAAACTCCATGCCATGACGCACATCCTCTGTTATTTTTAAAAGCGCCGTTGTGGTGCTATGTCCAGGTCGAAATCCTGATTGGTGTTGATTCAGTATGTTGCTTTTGGTTAAGTGAGTTTGTATCTGTTTGAGCGCTACAGCTTCTAAGACTTTTGACAAAAACGGCAAAACCGATATAGGCCGAAAGTGATTGAAAGCACTGGGCATAGAGATTTTTGGAAGAGGGAGAACAAAAAGCCTTCTGCCAGCATAACGGAAACTTCTCAGTAAGCAATGAGCGGTTTATAATGGAGGTTAAAATTGGTACAATATGATCCGAAACATATGATATCATGGTTCTTCCTATGTTGTCATGACCTACTGCCTTTGATTTAAATGGTCTTATAAATATTAAATCATACATCATATGAGCAAAGTAAAAAAAAGTTTGCAATAATATATCACACCAAACCTAGTACATAAACACAGTTAAAACAAAAAAACTTTAATGTACCATAGAGTAAAATTAAGAATATAACATTTATGACTTTAAAGAACTAAATTTGCGATATATCAAAATATTTTTCATAAGATCCGAAAGCATCCAAACATTCGACACAAGTATTATAAGCAAACTAACACCTAATCGAAATACAAACCACCAAATTGTAAGTTGTGCTAAATTCATACTGAAATACCGCATCCGATCTTGCTATTGCGAATATTTAAAGGGAAAATGTGAATGTTGTGGTCCAAAAATGCAGAGTTTTGAATTTGACACGGAAACTAAACTAGACAGAAATGGGCAACATGAAAAAAGTTCAAGATTGGAGCTCGATGAAAATACAGGAAAACTAAAACAAGTGATAGAAAACGGAAACGAGAGCATCGAAAAAAAATGGAAATTAAATGTTTTCTGAAGGAGATATGTTTGACTTGACCCAGGAGTTATTTATCGAACAATTTTGACATAGATGAAACAAATGTTGATTTTTAGTGTACTAAATGATTTTGTAATTTTAAATGTAATATAATTTGAAGAATTTGATACAGCTGAAAAGCAAAACTATGTTGAAAAGGATAAGGAAGTGGTGAACAATAACCCAGACTGTCTTAATATTAATATGCTTTGTATAAAAGTTATCAATATTAACTCGATTTTATCTGATCAAAATACTACAGCACAGTTAGCGGATGTATGCGCGTTGAATAAACTTTCAAAGGGTGACAACCAGAATCTGTCGTTTAAAGTGATGAATCAATGATTTACCGGCATGTTTACAGCCAGAGATATCACCTTCTAAACTATCAGCAAATGAATCAAAGGTGTCCGTGGGCTGCTCCAAACTTATAATATTCTAATGTAAAGGTAGATGTCGCCTCTAAACTTAAGAAAAAATGACATCAAAAAATCCTTACAGGGGCTGATGTTATAACGCAATCAGCACTAAAGACAAAAATGGTTCCGAAAAAAAAATGATACAAATGTTAAACAAAACAATGCTAAAAGAGAAGCAAATACATTTCATGAAGATGCAAGTACATCAAACGAATCACATAGTAATCAAAAACGGAAAAAATTTACTACTGAAACAAAAAAGTTGTGGCAAAAGAGCTTAATTGTATATAAATAATACAGAAAAGTTAAAATCAAGTACGTCAGAAGAAGTTGACGTTACAAAAAAAACGTAAAAATATATAAACTGAAACAATAATAAGCTGTGAAAAGAAAAGGTAAAAAGAATACGAATAGTAGAAAAAAGTCAAAACCAAGAAAGCAAATTCTTAAAAAAGCGGAAGATAAGAAACAATATTGGATCAAGCTCAATAATTCTGAAGATGATAAGTTTAATGAATACATGACATCGTGTTCAGAATACCAAGTAGAAAAGGAAAACTTCGAGTCAGCCATACCATTTGCGGGTAGTGATAGTGACAAGTTTTCCTGCGCCTAATCTCTCTCCAGTCATGTCAGTTTACTGTCCCATCGGGCTATGAGAGTGAGGGAATAGAGACTGCACTTGTGCTTGCGCATACGCTTGGGCACTATGATCCTGTCCTGCGCTGATGGCTAGCCTCCGTTGAGGCAGGCCGCCGTAGCCGAAATTCGGTCTGGAGGATCATTATTAGCGACAACTTCACAGAAGGAAAGAGCAATGTAGATTAGAGAAAAATAAAGATGAGTTAGAATGATATTTGAGACGTAAGTAGGCACAGTTGGTTTATTTTTGATAAAAAAATTAAAGATAAGAAGATTTATTGAGGTGAGGTGAGGATATTGTATAATTTCAGTCTTTCAGTCTTATTCATAAAAATCCACTAAAATGGTGTTATAACAGTAATTAGTTAAAATGCTCAATAGTACTATTAAACTTATTGAGTTAGCTGTGTAGCTAAAAGTGCGCTTGCTTAAACACAACCGCACTATTTTAAATAGGCCTAGCGCAGTCACCCACTGTAGCACAAGTGAACTAAATATTTTCTTATGCTACTTTGTTTCCATTGCTTACCTGACGCTTGTGTTTTTATTATAAGTATTATTATAATGGCGAGTGTAAACTGTGGCGCTTGTTTAGCTAAAATGGTTACCACATCTTTGCTTATGAAATGTCACAGATGCGAAACAGCTTATCATATATTATGTGTTAATGTATCAGCACAGGAGTACAACTCCTATTCTGACGAATATTTAACGAACTGGCTTTGTCCAAGCTGTCAATGTAAGGAGCCGAAACTAGATAATTCAAACAACCCAATTTGTGCATCTCCAACTGATTTTTACAATAACGTCACAGCTCGCCCTACAAAGCGAAAGGCCACCTTATCACCTAACGTTGAGATTAACCAGGCTCCTTCGGTAACTTCTATAAATTACAACCTTGCTTCGCTTACCTTGGAAATAAGATTATCGCGAGAGGGATCTAACAGCATTAAGGGGAGTTATGGAAAATCTATCGGCTTGCCTTCTCCAGTGTACTACAAAACTAGAATCACTTGAAAATCGCATGGTAAATGCTGAAAAAACAATTCAAGAGGCTAAAACATATACATTAAAGGTGGCCGAGCTTACTGCGACTATATCCTCTCTCCAGGAACAGATTAACGCCCAGGCTCAATCCGCTATTCGAAATGAGCTAGAGATTATAGGACTCAACGAAAACCCAAATGAAAGTCTTGAGCACGTAATACTTGTTACCGCCAGCACAGCAAAATTGGGGTGAATTTGGTAACAGAGGATATCGACTGCGTTATCCGAGCAGGATTAAGACAGCAGAAGGTTCTAGCATCAGAAAATAAGCTCCCACGCCCAGTGATTATACGTTTCCTGTGCAAAAACAAGCGAGAAGAATTCCTTAAAGCATCTAGGACCAGGCGTGACTTCACCACTACTTACATCAAAGTGCAGGGCCCCACCAGGAAGCTATATTTCAATGAACATCTAACGAAACATAACCGGTGGTTATTTCGAGAAACAAGAATACGAGCTAAAGAGGCTGGTTATAAGTATTGTTGGGTCAAGCAGGGCTACATCCACATTCGTAGGCGGGAAGGAAGTCCTGACATCACCATACGGAACGTCTCTGATCTGGAGCGTCATCTCAGTCCTGAGGAATTGGCTGCCACAGCTGCAGTCGGTAGCAGTAATCAACAAATGCTGCATTAGCTTTTTTTCATGTTATTTTTTATTTCCTATTTTTTTATTTTTACTGTATGTTTTTAATTCACAATAACAGCTCGCTTATAATAATGTATACATCTCAATCTTATAAATTGTATAATATTTACTTAGTATGGTATTTATCATGTAATTGTAGATTAATTAGTGTACCTTTTAACATACATAAATACACAAATTTAACACATACTCTCATACACTATAGCATTCATGAACTACTGCATCAATACAAACATCTATCTTCAATATTACACTTTTAATACTTTGTTACAAGAAAACTGAACAGGACAAACAAATGCAAAAATCGTTTCACAATAAACAGGTTATTCTTTCTCGGGCTAACCTTACCATTAACAGATATTACTGTTTACTTACATCTTTTATCACGAGTGACTTTATACATGGAAGTAATAATATTTATATAACCCCTTTTTACAATTTATGGCCCAAGCGGCCACCATAGAGGTAGAAGAGGATATTAGTAAAACATTTACTATAACATGTCACTCAATTCCTGATCTGGAACTCTGTGCAAACACATTACAGTCTTATTCTAACTTCACATTACTAGGCTGTAACATAAGAAGCATACATCGCAATTTTAATCACTTCTTATTGGTTCTCTCGAGACTTGATGTAGAATTTGACGCTATTATTCTGAGTGTTTTTTGAATGAAGTAGCAGTCATACCACAAATTCAGGGTACAAATCGAATAAATAAAAATGGTGGTGTCGTTACGTACATAAAAGACGTATGGAATGTTTCTGTATCGGAACCTACATTGGATGACGCAAATCATCTGCAAATAACAATAGAAAATACACGTACACTTCTTGGGATTTATCTATCTCCTTCGTTCAATAATCCGGACCGTTTTATACAATCACTTGATTCTACAATTCATTCTAACACTAAAGTTCCTATTCCTATTATTGTAGCTGGTGACATTAATATAAACCTGTTATCTGACGAATTAGACTCTCATCGATCTAATTATCTGTGTTTAATGGCTAGCCATGGTTTGATTCCAGCTATATCCAAACCCACATTGGACAAAAGGACATACCATGGGACACCCAACTTGTCATTTTGAGGGACATCTCAACTCACCAATAACAGACGATGAAGTCAGATTCATACTTAATCACGACAAATTCTTTTGTTTACGACACAAAAGACTCAAGGACTTTTTCAATTCTCAATTTAAAAGCTTAGTTCCTTATTTTGAGTATGACGGCTGCTATTGGTCTCTGATGGAAGAAGTCATCTCAACATGTAAATTTAAAGTTCCCCAAGAAGAGCCGGATTATAGTTTGAGGATTATATACGAGGCATCGATTTGGAACACAAGAATACATCATGAAAGCTATTACGGAACCGAGATGGATGTATCAGAAGAACTGGACAACTTCGGAGCTATTCTCCAGGAAAGTACAGTCCAAGACTTGTACAGAGTCAAGACACGAGTGGAACATATTAAGAGTCTCCTAACCAATGTAGAACACACTCTAGGAGAGTTTCACATTCTATCCGACAATCTGATAGTTGAGAAAGAACTAACAATTCTTACCAAGAATGGGAAGAGTTATCTTTACCCTACAACGTTACTTATGTGTGTACTAGACAATCTCCAAACCAGATTC